GAGGATTTTATTTTGAAAAAATCCTCAAAACAGTCATTTGCAATACTTGAGAATCTCTAAGATATTATTTTACTAATAAAATTGATTTCTTATCAAAAAATCAATGTTGGTATAAATTAATTAAAACATTATTTGATGAATCATAGAAANATGACTGTTTTGAGGATTTTATTTTGAAAAAATCCTCAAAACAGTCATTTGCAATACTTGAGAATCTCTAAGATATTATTTTACTAATAAAATTGATTTCTTATCAAAAAATCAATGTTGGTATAAATTAATTAAAACATTATTTGATGAATCATAGAAAAAAAATTTCTGACAGAGCATATTAGGTAACATTGAAAATAATTTGATATATTTCAAAAGTTATAAGTGCATTGTTATCTGCAAATGATCACTTTTCTAAGTTTTTTACAATAGAAGCATTTTGTTCTACAATGACAAAAATACGCACTGATTGTGACATATAGTCATTGTCTGCTGTTGATAATTGTTGCTGCCATGTTGTAATTATTTACTATTGAATTGGGATCCAAAAGAATCTGTACATATTCTGCAAAATAAAATACTTTTTTCAACCATATACTGTGCCTAGTATTTGTTTGGTACATTCTCCTTTGTCAGTCAACATGTATTTCACTTCCACACTNACCACCTTATTGGCAGTGTTGTATCGCGGCTGTTGATTGGCTATGCGAAGGACCACTTGGGTGGACGCAGCACCCGGATGAAGGGAAAGTATAAATGTGCGAGAAAGTGGGCACAAGATGTCTGATGCTGCTAGATAGTATGGCTTGAACAGGTCTACAGTAAGCACAATCTTAGCTATGAAAGATATATCAAGAAGTCTCAAGCTGTTAATGGAATAATGAAAATCACATCTGAGAAATAAAGAGCATTTTAGAGCCCATAATGTAACCTGGAACTGATCTAACGACATAAGAAGTCCAGGGATGTCAGAACAACGATCATCCAAGTGGCATCCAAACCTGAATAAGGCTAATGGGGTTGAGGATCCCTACAATTACAACACTATAAATTACTTCTGAAAAATCCTGAAGAAAAGAGAAAAGCAATCAACATTGGATAGATTCTTTAACACCCACAAATGAAAAAAACATGACTAATAAAAATGCAAGACTGCATATATATATATATATTTATATATTTTTACTATTACATATAAATAAACGTAGTAAAAAAAGCATATATTTTTTTATTTTTTGGCATCTCCAGAATGAATTAATCAAATTTCCATAAATACCTATGGTAAATCGATAATCGGTTAATGAACAATTCGAATAACGAACAGTCTTGGAATGGATTATGTTCGTTAACTGATCACCCACTGTACTGCAAATTTAAAAAAAATATAACTTAATAATAAAATTATTTTTTGGCATTTTTTTACTTTCATGAATTTATATATTATTTTAAAAGCCAAAGAAATAAGCAAATTTTATTAAATATATTTTTAAATATATATAATATANTTAATTTTTAAAAATCTTTTTGTATTTTGTTATAATTCATTTATTTTAAATACAAAATGTATCGATTTAATTTATTAAATATGTAGTGTTCTTTGTAGTATTTGTGTTTAGTAGTTAAATTATTTTGATCCAATTGAATTTGAATATTTTTGAATCATTCCTTTATTATCCCTGCTCTAAATAAGTACTCTATTTTTCTGAATAAGTCAGACTAATTGATCAGAGTACGTATTTTTCTTTTCTGTACAAGGGGCTGAAGTAGCTAGATCGCACACTTTTTAGTTGGACTAACTTTTCAGGAAGGTAAAATTTAAGTGATAATTTATCACCCCTCCTTTCTCTTCAATATTTTTTTATACAAATAAATATTAATGTAAGTTAAATATTAAAAGTACTAACTATAAAAGTATTTGGGTAAACTCCCCAGGCTCCTTTCAGAGTTCAGAGTAGGGTATCCCCTATGAGTGCCTCTGCCCCCCATAAAATGACTTGGTACTTAATTTTGCTGGAGTTTGGAGTTGGAGTCGGCATACTAAAATTATCAGGAGTTGGAGTCGAATGTATTTTTACTGACTCTGCAGCCCTGATCTCTATGCCTGTTTATGTAGACTTGCCAGAAGGGGTCATTTTTGAACTTATTGCTTACCTTAAGTAAAATATTTATATACACAAGAAAAGTTATTTTCAAAAGTAATTGTCTGAAAGGAACTATATTAGTTCTAGTAATATGTATTTGAAGTGAACATGTTTTAAAAATTTCTCAAACTGTCTGTGGTGTATCCCACCATGTATATATATGTTTTATTCACTAATATTCTATGTTATCTGTAATTTCTTCATCTATGTAAATAACCCGCACTATTTTTCCTTGTTTGACTCTTCCGACCTATATGCACTTTCTGGCTTGTTTTGGGCTGAAAAGGAGCACCAACTGACAAGGCAGCATAGGAAGACTTTTCTTCTTTGTTCATTCTTGGAGAAGCAGACGAAGAGAGAACCACATGGGGAGAGAAGGGAACATGTCCATGCAGTCAGGTAGTATACGCTAAGTTCATCGTGGTAAATGTCGGAAGATTGCCCAACTCATTATACAGATAAGGGGAATTTCCTTCTAACATGACCTTTCTGTATTCTTTTTTCTAACCTAGATTATATTAGTTTTTATTTTAAGTTAAGTTAGTTATAATTAGTATTATAATACGATTCTAATGGATTGTGTACTGGCCAGCTTCGGGAGCTGCACGTGTAACCGGATATACAAACCTTGTGAACGAGAGAAAAAGAGGAACGGTTTAGACTTATTTACTTCAAAACGGTCAGAGTGTAATATTATGGATGGTTTCGAGCGCATGTATTTTGAATAATTTGTAGATTAACTGTAAATAAATAATTTCCTTTATCGTTAATTGAAAATTGTGTTAATATGTGGTGTATTATTTGAATAATACGTTTTTCATTAACCCGTCACACCACATGTCATTACCAAAAATAGCTATCTTTGAAAGAAGTTTAAAGATATTGTCAAAACATTAAATATGAGCAGTCTAATTTTGTGGAAAGGGAAGAAATATCACTGCTGATAATTTTTTCACATCTCAACTTAAATGCAAAAATTGTTCAAACTCAAAATGCTTTTTCATTACTTTAACATAATTATTCATCACTGTTATTAAACTGCATTACTATCAAATGGATACTTACTGGTAAAACTAAACAAAAAAATAATATAACATTGAAGTGACAGATCAAATCTAATCATGTGGTGATTCTAGTAGTAAAAAGTCTTGGTGGTTCTAGTGTTAAATGTTTTTGAAACAGATTTAATTTTTTATGAACCTTCTTCAGAAGCTTCAGCAAATATTTTTAGTAATTACTCTCTTGACTACGACATATTGACATTTACTTTTTAATATTATAAGATATATATGTAATGACATGTAAACATTTTTCATAAACTCATATTATACTAGGTACAGCATATGTTGTATAACATAGCCAAGGTGTGGTGTGACAGGAAAATTAATCCTTGAAATATTAAATACAATTGTGCTTATATTTGGTTACTGTAAACAACATGTAAACAAGGATTTTCCTCTCCAAGAAACATCATAAATCAAATTAGTTCAGTCTAAAGAAGAGATCAGCTGCAGTTGGGTAGAAGTAGAGTATTTTCCTCTAAAGAGCAAATGCTCTATCTCTGAAAAGGGTTGAAACCTTCCTGGGAAACAATACAAACCTTTAAGTAGGTCAGTTTCTGCAACAAAATCCCCATTTTCCACTGTGTTGTCCCATTCCAAGACCTTGCTACAAAATGTTTTAATGCAGTTTTCCTTTCACAATAATAGAACAATGAAATGTAGGAGTGTTTGTAATGTGTAACAGAGTAATAGTAAAAGTGCATCTTTGGCCAAATGCTATTCAGTTTAATCAATTGGACCAAAGTATCCAATACGCCTGCAGATAGTACTGTACTTGCATTTGTCAAACCTGTAATTAAGAAGTTTTTTGTGGCTAAGCATCCCACAGTACCCTGCAACCCCAGGGAAACTGGAGAAGAAAGCTGGAAAACAGACTCAATTGTACTACAGTTTATTACAGGCACTTGTAGTTTTCAAATTGTAATGTAAAAATGGAGTTTATCATTTCTGTTTACAGAAAATCCATTTTTATCTCCAGAATATTTAGAGGATTTTGCAATTTGCAATAAAATTAAATAAAACTTTATTGTTTACAGAAAGATTTACTTAAAAATATTTTCATTTTACAGAACCATATAGGGAATAGGTTTCAAATTTGCCTTCTACCCATAACCTACTTCTTCCAGTATGATAATTTGATTTAAACTATTTGCAGAGTGAAATCATAATATCATGCTTACTACACGTCACTTTTCTACATCTAATCATTCAAGGGTTAGTTTTTTCATCTTAACACACCTCGGATTTGTTGGTTGACATATGCCAGATCCAATATGCAAGTTAATTAATATCTATTAAATAAAAATCAAATTACAGGTATACCTCGCCTTACGTCGGTAATTGGTTCCAGGAAAACGACTTAAGTCGAAAAACGACGTAAGTCAAATTTACTTGTCTCCGAATCTACTTGTCACTAGGCTAAATTATAAATTACTATTCCCAGTTCTGTATTTTATTTATTAATGCATTTTTAATAATACATGGTTAATAAAAATCTATTTTAAGCTTACAAATAAATTTTAGTTTTTAATGGACTACAGAAAAAAGTAATCTAAATTTATGAATGAATGTACTGTAAATACAGTACATACATGTAAATGTATATATTTTAATATGATTTTATGTGCTTTAAACGCTTTTATAGTGATATTACGACTTCAATATTTGTGATGGATGGACGTAAAGTCGAATGAAATGACTTAAACTTGATTTTTATTTTTCCGTATACTTTTTTGACAAACGACGTATAATCGGGAACGACGTAACTCGAAACAACGTAAGTCGAGGTATACCTGTATTAATTTTAATCAAGAGCAAATATATAGTGTGGCTGTCCACTATTTTGTTGTATATAATTGTAGTGTATATAGAATATAGTGTATAAGAACTCCTTTCTTCTTTCCTATAATTCTTCTTCCTTCCATTTTTAACCCTTTCCTGTCACGTGACAGGAGCTGTACTATTCATTGGTCCTGCCTGAAGCTACTGATAAACACAAGGTGAGGAAAAAAGACACTTTTAGGTTCACCACTGAGGAGAGGTCAAGCAAGAGTGACCAGAGGACAAGATATAAAGCAAGTGTGAAGGAGAGAAAGAGACAGCATAGACCAAGTAAGAATGGAGACAAGAAAAATAATTGAGATAGCCGTTCCAGAAAGGTCCAAGGAACTGTCTCGGCACACGTTTATTAATAACTGCTTTGTACCTCCCCTGGATGCTAATGGATTGGACATTGACTGCATGAAGTGATAAATGTCAATATTCACCCAGTTCAGGACCCACAGATCTAGCTACCAGTAGATTTCCGAACTATCCTTCCTTTCTTCATTCTAGTAGTAATAGTATTAGGTTTAAGTTTAATTATAATTATCTTAGTTTAAATCAGGATTATATTTATATATTAAATTTTGCCACAGGAAGTTCGAACAAGAGAGGAGATGTTGTAAATATATCTATATATAATTGTCTCTGATGGGCATTCCGTTCTCTGTCAACTCATTCGACTAATAAAACGATTTGATCATTATTGGTTTTGTCGTCTTATCACGTGTTTCACGAACACACTTTCACAATAGAATAAAAACAATAGTTAGTATAAAACTAAAAAAATTAATTCTTACCATGACTTCCTGCCAACCTTTGTAAACATTTTCAAATTTTCGACCTAAAATGTGTATCGTAGACTTAGTCACATCATTGTTTTGATTAAGAAACAGCATCTTAATGGTAGTATTTGTTGACTGCATGATACGATTTAAAATAGGATTATTAGGCAAATCCTTTTTGAAGAAATTATTATTATGTGATATTGCCATTTCTATTTCCATTGCAATTTCATCCTAACAAAATAAAATAAAAAATTTGTTTAGAATTTTAGATGGGAATATATTTGCAAATAAATATTCTTAATATATAATCTGTAAACTTATAAATTATTACAAAAATTACATCTATCTACAAACAAACAACTAATTAAAAATATATTCTGAAGACAAATTTCAAATCATGTAATAACATCTTTTAAGGAAAGATTAAGTATTTTTTTTTAAGTAAAAAAATATTACAGTAACATTAAAATAAATTTCAAATAATGAATAAAAAGAAAGGCTATTCCACCAAATAATATTACAGCAAAACCTTGTTAAGTTGAAGTTTAAGGGGATAAAAAAATCTCAAGTTAAAGTTTCATACCGGATTTAAAACCGCAGAAAAATTTGAGAAAATGTCCCATTATCAAGTTGTTTCTCAAGAATCTGTTCACAGAATGATTGATTACAAAATAGTATACGTATTTTGGCACTTTTGAGTGTGGGACACTAGCGGACACTTTGGTAAAAAAAATACTGATGCAAGCTTGTAATGGCATGTTGTTTCAGCATGGAGCTGTAGCGTTTATTTACTTTAATCATTTATATTCATATGGAATGTATAATAGATATGTAATCTTCAATTTATCTATGGGTGGAGGGTACATAAAAAAAATTGGTTTTCAGTTAAAAGTATCAACAACTTTGACTTGTCTCATTAGCAAAGTTGTTGATACTGTATTATATGGAAACACTGTGACTGGGACCCATAGACAGCTTTGAGTTAATGCAGTTCAACTTAGCAACAGATGCAGAAGTTTTCAATTTGTTTTGTTGCTATGACTGCTAAAGCTTAAGAATAATCCCTGAATAATTTTAAGTATATTAGAAACAAACTGAAAGCTTTTTATTGAAATTTATCAAATTAAACAATAAATGAAAATTGCTGAAACAGTTTTAAATATTGATATAATTTTGAACATAAAAGAATATTGTGTATCTTAATTATAAAACAGAAAATAATAAAAATAGCAATGTTTTTAAATTAGAATAAATAAAATAAAATTATGCACAAACATTTTAAAATAAACCAAAACTTACAGGTTTAAAACAACCTGTAAGTTTTGGTTTATTTAAATGTCATAAAAATCACATTTGTCAAGATGAATCAACAGGTGTGAAGTGGACTGTCCTTGGAAGACTAATGGAATAATCCTTCATTAAGATAATCTGAATAGCATCAATTGCTGGACACCTGAAGGTCCCTAAGTGCAGGATAGTGGATTATTTCCTTGAAATAATCCACTATCCTGCACTTAATAAATTTTTTTAAATTACATACGTTTAAAGAGTCAAGGTATAGAAATAACTTAACTAAAGGACTATCCAAAAGTTACAACTAATGAATCCAAACTTGGCCACATTATTTACATTTTCTGTTTTTGATTTTCATTAAAAAATAAAACTATATTTCAATTTTTTTATATTTAAAAATTTCTTAAAAATAAATATAAAAATTACAGAAATACATAGTTATTACAAATGAATTATTTTCAGGAACTGTATTTACAACAATAATTCATATTTAACAATAAGTGATACATCAAAAGAACTAGAATTCTATAATATAAACTTGGATAGTTTATATTATAGAATTACAGATATGTCATGTTACCAAAAGAATGCACACTGAACATGTTCAAATGATAGTCCAGTTCACCCAATGCATTGTAGCACGTTTGCTGAATGATCACAATTGCATAAGTAATGTGGTCCCAGAGCTCTATCAGAGATGTAATGGCAGCACATAAATCATGTCTTTTTTTTGTTGGGGTATGTAAAGTCATGTAAAGTTCTAGAAATCTGAAAGGAATCTGTATATACTAAGTCATCATTACTGCAACACCCAATACTGCAGTGTGGGAGTTCTACTGCATAGCCCAATTTTGACAACGAATGTTGTGCTTTCACCTGGTTGTCACAAGGAAATCTTCGCAAGTATTTCAAATTTGGAGAGTTTCTCTTTCATTTCATGTTTTGTGTGGATGATCCAGCTCAATACTTTGGAAGTTATGGACTTCAAAAACATGATGATTGTAATAACTATTTTGTTGTTGACAAAAAACACCATAAGCATCAAAAATCAAATTTTACAGGTGCAACAAAAGTAAACTGACCAAACCTCTCAGATTAACCAGGACAGTCACAGTTTTTGACTTTGTCTCAGCTTTAAATAAAACTGGAAAAATGTCCCAGTTTTGAATAAAACGTCCCAGATTATCCCATTTTTATTTATAAGTTTAATTTTTTAATATGAACTATTTAAAGATTTAATTTTTAAAAAATTGTTTTGAAGAATTGTCCTTTAACATTTACTATATATAGAATATTGCCTCCTAGTAAATTACCACAATATTACTTATGTAGAGATGCAGCTAAGCATAGTGCATTATACCTAAATCCTACACTGTCTTGATTCCATACCAGTAAGGTTATTATATTGGTTGGCCTAGAAATATACTTATTAGTCTAATAAGTCCTAAACACTTGATATCTTACAATAAAAATTAATATGTATTAAATATGAAAATAATATATAGCATTATAATATAAATAAAATCATATACAGTGGGTGATTGGTTAACAAACGGTTCGGATAGCAAACAAATTGGATAACGAACACTTTCGCGAAAGATTTTTATGATCGGACAACAAACACTTTACTGAACAAACATAAAAAGAAGCGACAGAAAATAACAAATACCGATTGATTTTCCCTTATCTTCAGGTAACAATTCGAAACCTTTCGGAGCGCGGGAGACATCAACATTGATGCTCAACCCGATACCAATTGGATAGTATCCCTCAGAATTTTGAAACTCTCCCTTGTAATTCCAGCTTTTTATTTATGTTTCTGACAAATAATTTCTATAGTATTTGCGAGACTGTCGGATGGGCACTCATTAAGTTTTATGTCGGGGTTTATTTACGAAAGGTGAAAGTTTAACTGTCCCGTCAGATATTCGTTAACGTTTTAATACTAAATTTCATCCGGGCCTTGCATTTAAATAATTTTTTGTGGACTAGTTGATTTCTGTTCTCTGAATTTTTGTAAGTGCTTTTCTGAACTTATTATTTAAAAAAGAAACTGATAATATTATGGAGCCTAAAAAAAGTAGAGTGTCAAGAACTGCACTCACCGTAAAAACTGAGTAAGAGATAATAGCCAAGGTAGAAAGTGGGCACAAGATGTCTGATGCTGCTAGATAGTATGGCTTGAACAGGTCTACAGTAAGCACAATCTTAGCTATGAAAGATATATCAAGAAGTCTCAAGCTGTTAATGGAATAATGAAAATCACATCTGAGAAATAAAGAGCATTTTAGAGCCCATAATGTAACCTGGAACTGATCTAACGACATAAGAAGTCCAGGGATGTCAGAACAAAAGTAGCTGATGANTGTAATTTTATATTTTTATATTTTATTAAATGTAATACCATCGGCCATGTTAATATTTATTATTTTCTTCAAAATGAATTTTTGTGAAAGTGGCAATAGCACCAGAGGACGTTTTTAACCATATTTGCATTTTATTGCGGAGGCAGCAGCCTCTAAAGAAAGGTCGCCTCCGTGATTGTAATTTTTGTGGACTGTCAACTGGAGCGAACGACGGATGAACAAACGGAAACAAAGTATTGTTAAACGTTGTAATTTTATATTTTTATATTTTATTAAATGTAATACCGTCGGCCATGTTAATATTTATTATTTTCTTCAAAATGAATTTTTGTGAAAGTGGCAATAGCACCAGAGGATGTTTTTAACCATATTTGCATTTTATTTTGGAGGCAGCAGCCTCTAAAGAAAGGTCGCCTCCGTGATTGTAATTTTTGTGGACTGTCAACTGGAGCGAACGACGGATGAACAAACGGAAACAAAGTATTGTTAAACGTTGCAATTTTATATTTTTTATATTTAATTAAATGTAATACCGTCGACCATGTTTATATTTATTATTTTTTCTTCAAAATGAATTTTATGTGAAAATGGCAATAGCACCAGAGGACTTTTTTTACCTCATTTGCGTTTTATTGCGGAGGCAGTAGCCTCTAAAGAAAGGTCGCCTCTGTATATGTAAATTTGTGGACTGTCAACTGGAGCGAACGACAGATGAACAAACGGAAACAAAGTATTGTTAAACGTTGCAATTTTATATATATATTTTTTTAATATTTAATTAAATGTAATACCGTCGGCCATGTTTATATTTATTATTTTTTCTTCAAAAAAGCAAATTTTAATTCACTTCATTTTACATTAAATTTTCATTCAAAAATAAAGAAAAAATCATGTGAGGTGGCACTACCAAAAATAAAATGTCCTGCAATATTAGTCATTGAAATAGACAACAACATTGTGGTGCCTGTCGGCAATGTGCAGATTTGGACCGATAGAGGGTGCAGGAAAAAAGAGAAAAGCAAACTTTGAACGAGCGGCCAACACGAACAAAAGTTAACTGGACCTTCAATCAATGTTGAGCTATAAAAATATTGTACATACATTATACATTGCTGTATATACGGGTAAATAAACAAATATAAAAATCCGACCGGACGTTTCTCATCAGCATCGAATCATTCATTTGGTGACTGAACACCAAAACATTATTAAGCAATAAAATCATTCAAACAACTTCAAACCCTATATTTCCTACCTTCAAATTTTTAGTGTGTCCCAGGTTGAAGTTCAGAAAATCTGGTCACTTTAAACAAAAGCAAGTAATATTGCATATAATAGCCTAAGGTTTTTCCTTGTGAAGGTTCATTATAAATTGTAATCATATAATTACCTAGATTTACTACTGACTGAACTCAATGGAAAAAAAGATTGTCATTTATGAGGTTTCCTCAACAATATTTCCTCAGCCAATTCTATTGGTTGAATGTTTCTTAGATTTCTGTAATAATATTCACACTCCAGGAGTCTACTGTGACATAAAACTTACTTGACCTACAGTAGCAGTTGTGATTTTCATGTGTCAATGACAATTTGTATGTTATCACAATTTTATTTGTATAAAAAAAAATTAATTGCTTTATCTCTTAAATTCCATTAATTAAATCCCATAAAAAACTGATTGAAAAGTAAAGCTCAGTGAAAAACATCTAAATAAAGGAAACTTTCCAAAGTATGGAATAAGAATACTGGAACCAGATTTGACTGTAAGAAGACAACTTATAAATAAAGTTCACATTACACATTGTCACAGAAAAAGACCAATCTGTACTTTGTGCCTTAAAGTTGCATTTTTGTTGCACCTACAACAATTTGGCTGAATATTAGAGCATCTTTGAGCAATATTAGTGAAGGAATTTTAATGCACAATGTACAGCTTGAAGCCTTTTTCTCTGATATTTGATTTAACTGTTTCATTGAGCTTTATTTTTCAACCTAATTCCACCAGAATTTTTAAAATGGGATTTCAAGCATTTTTCACTCATCAATAATTTCATGACTGAGAAATAGAGTTTCTTGAGTAACTTTAAGTGCAGACAGATCATTGGACCACAGGGCAGGTATCAATATTTCTGAAAAAAACTGCACTCATTGGTTGTTTTCATACTACAGTGTCCAGAGTGTACCATGAATGAATGTGTCACGTACAAACATCCATCAGAAGATCATACAGTGACCAGCCACACGTGGTTGATCCTAGAGGTGAGTATTATATGTGTATATTTTATAAGATCATTCTGTGGATTTGTATCAGGACTTAGCTGTAATGCATAGCCATTGTTATCGCATACTCCATACCACCTTATTGGCAGTGTTGTATCGCGGCTGTTGATTGGCTATGCGAAGGACCACTTGGGTGGACGCAGCACCCGGATGAAGGGAAAGTATAAATGTGAGCACTTCCACATGAAAGAAATTTTTATTTTTCTTCATTCTACTTCGCCCTGGCATTGGGAGCCTTCATTGGACCGAAGGAGGACTTTCGAAGCAGAGAAAGGAAAAGTGATCAGAAAAAGGAAGGAAAGAAGAACCTATCGAGAGGTAATACAGTTCCATCTAGCAGTAGAAGTAATCTTCAGGAAGGAAAACTAGTGAATAAGAGTCTAAGATCACCTGGTTCATTAGCAAGATAGTTATTACAAGAATTTTTTTTGAAACCTCTATATGACTGGACATGTGTATAGTTCAACTTGTAAATAAGTGTATAGTTCTTTTCCTTATTTTGTCACATATTAGTTTTATCATCACGAGTAAGGTCCATTGTAAATCAAATTAGTCATGTCATTCCTATATTTGATAAGAATATAGTTTGTATAATTGAATCAAGTAATCAAGGTATTCTTTTGTTACTTTTATAATTAATAAACTAAGAAAGAAGAATTGTCTGTCTGAATTGTTCTGCATCACTGTAAAGTCCTCAGAGCAAATCCCCATCTTTATAACGAGATATATTTCGGTATATCATCGAATAATATACATGTCAAGACTGACATCTGAACAAAGACGTGCCAGTGGAACAGCTTAACCACCAGTACAACATTGTCAAAACATGTCTGTCTTGTCCAATGACCATGTGACATGCTTGCCTAGGATGGAGTTCAATAGCCATCAACCTTCATGGGTGCCTCTGTTAAACATGCGTCATTAAAAACAACACCTTGCATGGGCAAGGGAAAGCTGTCATTGGACCTTGGACAAGTGGAAGAAGGTCATCTAAAGCCATGGTTCTCAATCCATGGTCCACGGAACATGGGTTCTCCTTGAAGCCACTTCAAGTGTTCCACGAAAAAATCAAATATACAATTAAAAATTGTTGCAAAAGAAAAATCAATACAATGTAAAATAATTTTTGTATGGGAACGTAATCAGCAAATGTCAATGATGTCATATATTACACTGAGTGTGCTCTTGATTTCAAAAGGGTTTGCCACCCCTGCTTTAAAGCTGATGTATTGTAAGTGTTCTGCGGAAAAAACATGTCAAAGTTTAGTGTCTCAACTTAAAAACCTTCAGAACTACGGATCTAGAGTGATGAGTTCTGTTTCATGCTGAACCACAGTGATGGCCAGGTCTGAATCTAGCAAACAGCATGAAGTTATATCCCCCTTGTACAGTTGGGTTCAACATGCTGGTGGTGGTGATATCATAGTTTGGGAAACGGTCTCTTGGCAAGGTCTAGGGCCATTTCTCATCAACTCACAAATCTTGAATGGTAAACAATACAGGAACTTGTTAGGCATTCATCTGCACCCATATCTCCAGGTTATGTTTCCTGACAAAGAAGTGCATTATTAAGTCAAAACATGGCATGTCACTACGTGAGAATGGTTGGAGGAACCTGACATTGAATTACACACACTGCCTTGGCCTCAAACTCAGACTGCAAACCTATTGAACATGTGTGGCAAGTTATCACCCACTCCTCCACAAAATGTGCACCAACTGAATAAACTGCTCAAGAAGACATGGGTCCAGTTTAAAACAGAGGATATTCGGCATCTTGTAGAGTCCATCTCCAGTGTTTGCAAAACCACGATCGCTGAGGAACCAATTCATTATCATGTAAGTGTTCCTAATGTAGTGATTGTTCAGTGTACATTCATAAAAATTTTACGAAAAATATAGCATTTGACATACCATAACTTTATCAGCAATCAGCATATATTTCCAATTGAAATTATAATTAATACATACATATAGAAAAAGCATTAAAAATTTAATTTTTATTTTATATTGTTATTCTTCACTTTGTAAATTTAATAATATAAATACACTATAGAACAAGTGTCAATAAATAAATTATTATAATCATTTTAATTATTTTATAATGTTGTTATATAAATATAAAATTAATACTCAAGTTTTATTACTATTCATCAAGAAATCTAAAAACAATTACATAATATAGCAAACTCTTATATAATCACTCATTTAAATATATTTTTGTCTTCCACTTTAGCCAGTAATGGATAGATATGTCAGTTACATCACACCATCTGATATAGTCCTTATTTGGTTTGTATCCCTACATATGAATATAACGAGGAGCTAATGTATCTATTTATAAAAAAAATGAAATTTTACTTTTATGAAACTAATAAAATATTACAGTTAACTTTTTTCAAAAAAAATCAAACTACGAGAGAGACAATGCAAAACAATAGTTTTAGAACAAGATCTACTGCCAAAAATCCACCTTGACACCCATCTATATAAATAACATATTTGAGATCTGTAAAAGCTGGTCATTTATGCCAGATGGTTACCGAGATGATGTTATATTTAGCAATAAAAAAGTCTATTGCTTTATAATACTGACAGAATGTGTGGGTGCAGTGCGAGGATAATTGATACTTTAATCCCAAATATCTCAACCTGACAAGGGATTTGAAAACATTTTTTCAAATTCCTTATCGGGTATTTTTTTTAATCTAATAAAGTATGTATTGAAAATTTACAGGAATCTTTGAAATTTATTGATTTGATTTTGTGATTTACGTATAGAAGAACATTAAAAAATGAATTAAAAAACGAATAATCATATCCGACATCAATTTATGTCTCCTAATATTGTTTCATGCTGTTTGAAACTATCTAGAATGCTAAAATTAAAATAAATTTACTATTTTGTATTGGACACGGTGGATATGCCAGGTGTTATTGTAATCAACCCACGTTCTCTTGAAAAGCTTCCCCATAAATCACTTGTACTCGTGTGTTATGCTCAACAATAAAGGTCTGTTGCTAAAATAAAACAGTTTCATCTATCTTATTTAAATCTGTGTCTTACAGACAAGAATAATCACTCTGTTTCATCAGAGAACTTTTAATGGAGTTCCAATACCAATTGGGAGACTGGAATATTTCAAACATGTTCAATAATCATGCTGATTATTCTTCACAATTGATGTTCAAGATATGTTAACAAATTTTTAGATGGGACAGGAAAGAATCTGAATATGATTTGATACATTGCTTTAGAATCTCACATGTGAGTAGTGATAGAATCAATAGTATAATAATAGATGCTACTAATAATAGATACATAAATTTTAAATCAAATTAAAATGTAAAATATAGAATCATCAATTGATATCAAAATGAGATGGAAAAACAAAACCTAAACAGGCGTGCTTAATTTTATAAACCCACCTGTCGATTTGATGCCACAAGCCTGTCGATGTTTCCGAGTATCTCCTCAAATTTTTCCTTTTCGGCTCTCTGACCCCTTATCACCAATATTCTTATGGAATCGGCAGGAGGATTAAATTTAAAGCTGAGATGTCGTTCCCTTATACTTCTCAAAATGTCGGAGAATACGGTCTGATTCTTTTCGTTCAGACAACGCGAGGGAATGAGCAATTTTAAAACTATCGGCATCAATTTCTGTAAATGCAAAATTATCGTAACATATTAAATAGTAAAATAAGTATAAATGCAGCTTCGAATGAGGCAGTTTTCATAGGAGTAAACAAATAAAAAGAACTATTGGTCTACATGTGATGCTTTGAGAGATATAGCAATATATTCTAGTATATAGTGTGAATAAATATCCGTATATATACTAGGTTATATAGATATATCCGGAAATAGTTAGTGAAATGGCTGTTTTGTGAGCTTTCAGTAGTCTTTCGTAAAATGGAAAACTGTTGATTTTTAGCATTATTTTTTAAAATAGTTTCGGAGTTTCTCACTTTAAAATGTTACCACATTTTTGAGGGTTTTTAAAATTCCTAGGCTGATTTCGGGAGGATTTATCTCGCAAAGGATTGCATGTAGAGCATCGGTTCTTTGAAGTTCTTATTCCTACGGGCACGGATCTGATAAGGTCCCAACCGCCTTAATCGCAGCTGCAATTTTATCGTAAAATATCCCGGCATAAATGCGAAAGTACGTAAAAATTACACAGAATATGTCGGAGAATAAATAACTTAATTCGTCGCCACTTACTCTTATGGCCAATTTAGCCCGTTCGACATTTTCTGCCATTCCGGTAAGCGTCACCTATTTTAAATTGGAATTACGTTAACAATTTACTTAATAAAACTCTGAAAAAAAAGATAAAATAAAATTCTATTCATACTCTATTGCTTTTGACAACTCCATTTCTGTTAGAATCGGGAAAGTGAATGTGACAGTCGGTATCGCTTTTGACCTTTTGAATGGTCTCTCCTTTTTTACCGATCAAGTGGGAATGATCGGTATAGGAAATGTCCATCCTTAAGGTCCCTTGGTCCTTTTGCAAAAAAAAAAAAAAAAAAAAAAAGTTATACAATTTGAGAGTTTACTCTTTAAATAATTAAACTAAAGTGATGATGAACCTAAAGAGATTTTAAAGCATTCTTAGCGATTAATAAGTCTACCTTAACATCTAGAACTTGCATAATCATTTCCTTAGCTACTCCAACATTTATAGGCAAACCTTCTATTTTAACTTGTGGATCTGGAAATATTTCATTAAAAAACATTAAATTATTTTCAGTAAAACTTATAATAAAATTATTTTTGTAAAGAAAACCATCCATTAAAATTTAATCACTTCAAATTGGCTGGAATAAAAAGAAACTATAGGGCTAATATGGTAGGTAAGTTTGAAGATGTGGCTAAACTAACCAATACAGGAGGGGGTTTGAGTCACGTTTAAAATAAATAAAATTCCGTGGGAGTCGGATAATCGAAGAGGAAGGAAGGCAGAACAAAGTGTTAAGCAGGAAATCCAGTCACATTTCCTGGTGCGCATTGATTTGGATTGTTCTCTCGATGCAAAGAGTGATACTCCGAATGGTAATTAGATAATTAGACATTCTCGGCTACGTCACAACCGCAAATTCGCTTCGGAACAAACGATGAAAGTACTTTGCTACGGCGCGTAGAATGGTGAAAAAAAAAAAGAAATGTTATTATAGAACAGATACGGATGGATTCCGAAATAATCTTTAAAAATCCGTTCGTCTTTCGGATAAGACGAAAAATTAGAAAATAATTCGTAAGATCGAGCGAATATTAACGGTAATCCGGAGGGAGAAGAAAATTAACGTCGAGCGGGAATTAAATTTAGTCTCTTTTAAGCGTTTTGCAACCGCCCGGCGGAAGATAGGTAGGAGTTTATAAATAGAGAGAGAGAGAGAGTTGCCATAAAGAAGTCATCGGAAAAAATAGACAAACAAAAACACCGAGTGGAAAAAAACGTCACGTAACAGGACACCAGCAATAAGGCACCCTTCTTTCTTCATTCATAAATCCCCAAACATTCGCTCCTCTTAAATTATTCGTCTTTTAACCGGTTAACTAAGCTCTCTTTTAAATTAAACCGTTTTTCCAACGTCAGATCGATCGTTTCCGGCTCCAGAAGGTCGAAATAGAAGAGAAAAATTAAGATTTTTAAGAAGATCGCCGATATAAACAAAGGCAGCGCTCGTCCCTCCCCTCCGAACAATTTATACCCGGACGAGATCTCCGCCGGATTTAGAAATGTTTCCGACCCGCACCCTCCACGAAATTTCGATCGTTTCGGAGAGAGAGGGAGGGAGAGGGAGAGTCGACCTCTAAAAACCCAGTCGAACGGGAGGAAGAGAGAAAAAAAGAGGAGGGGTGAGAAAGTGTCGACGGGACCTTTTCGGCCACCCGATCCGCGATAAACGTACGGAAGAGGTCGAACCTCGCGAGCCTCGCCTAAGTAGATTTATTTGCACGGGGCCGGACGTACGATCCGACGCGCGACAACACATTTATTAAACTAAGTATTCACATCCTGGATCTATTACCTCGATTTAACAAAATATTGGATCACGGGATACGTCGTCCGGCGATCGACACCCGTGTCTTTTTTTTTTTAAGAAGCGAATCGAAGGGAAATGAATCATTACGGCTAAATCGAACGGTTTCCTTTTTATCCTCGATTTCCGAACAGAAGAAGAACTCTCTTACCTTTCTTCGACTTGGATCCGATCTTCAGTCTCTCCGGCCACGAAACCACCGTGTCCGTCTGCCTCATCACCTGTCCAATCAAACACGCTGTATTATCGCAGTCGGAAAACACGCGTAAATAAAAACAAGATACGAAGCCGACGGCAAAAAACTTTCCCACTCTTCTTATCTGAATTTACTTCTCCCCCCTCTCTCCCTTTTTGCCAGGGCTTCGCATCCGTAAAGGTTCTACTTACCGCCAGGAAGAAATCGGGTCCCGACATGCGACATTCCGACAGATGACCTGCGAATAGAAAGCTCCGGGTCAAACAGGCGTACGAGAATCCCGGTCGGTCCGTAATTTCGACCGGAAAATTACCGACGGGAGTATTAATTGGGGGGGGGGGAGCGGCGGAGAGGAGAAAACGTAAGGCGAAACCGGGAAGAATAATAATAACGAAGCGTTTCATGAGGGAGGGGAAAAAACTTTCTTTCGTTGCCGGACGCAGCCAATTAACCGCGTCTCGGACAGATGTGCCGATATCGGGTTGCAAGGCGACACATGGCCGCCTCTCCCCGGCCACCGCTCCGCGTTTTATCGCTCTCCGGCCTCCGGATTCCGTCTCGGGACGCCGCGCGGCGCGTGGCCACGCGCCGAGCGGCGGTTATTTATCTTGGCCGGGATTTCCGGGAAGGTCGGCGCGCCGACTTCTGGGAAGGACCGGAGAGGATTAGCGGCCCGGGCGAAGAAGAAGGGGGAATTTAACCATCGGCCATCGGATACGGGCGACTAATTATAGACGCACAATCGGGTCTTTGCTACACTTTTTTTTCGGAACAACCGACGTCCGAAGACGTTTACGCAATTTACTTTCCATCCAGTCTAAAAAAAGGGACTTAAAATGTCGTCCGGGCGCGAGAAGGTGGCCCTCCTCTCCAATCGGATATTTCGTTTGGACCCGGCCACGCCTTCTCTTAAGATAAACCCGAATTCGATGGCGGTCGGAGAGGAAAATCGGACAAAGGGAGAGAAAATCCCCACACTGGAGTTGGGTAAAACGCGGAACTTTCCGAAACGAATACGATTTAACCACAAGAGAAAGGGCAAAAAGGAGAAACGATGCGATCGGAAAATTTCGTATCGGCGGAGAAAGGAATTTGGGGAGAGGCGGAAACGGGAAGAAAAAAAAAAATCTTCCCGACACCGGAAGAGAGGGCGATAGAAGCGGGGGTCGAGCGAATCGGCGTCACGGCGTCGCCCGGACCGTTTCAATGGAGGTCTTTGTCGTCGGTTCGCGTGGCGGGGAGGCGAACGGGGAAAGGGTCGACGAAGGCCGCGCGACTCGGGACCGCCCGTCCTTCTTTCGCCGTCCCCCGTAAAAAAAAGGGGCGCCGTCTTATAAATAGGCGCGCCCGTCTCCCACCCGGTCGTCCCCCTCGGACGCTTTTCTATTTCGGTGACGATCGGGCCGCAGAAACCCACGCCGCTAACCGGCTAAAATTAACTAGCGGCCGCCTCTCCACCGGCTTCCGCCGCGCGTCGTTTTTTCCCAGCTAATCCCGGAGCGGGAGGAAGAAGAAGAGGAGGAGGCTTCTGGGAAAGGGCGGGGAGGATACCGTAATTCGCGTCTCGGCTACAACCCGCAATTAAATAATTCTGTAATTGCTCGGTGGCCGTTGCCGGGAGCCGGGAGTAATCTTCTCGCTTGTTAAACGGACGAAAAACAACAACGGCGTCGACTAAATAATTGCGCCGCCGACGCTTTAATTCCGCCGACTCTCGACGCTCCAGATTTGATACCGGACGCCGTTTTCTTTCCGGACACGGACGGACGTTCCTCCATTTAATCCTTTAGTCGACCGCCGAAAAAAGCATTTACCAAACGGAGACGACGCGCCGCGTTAGATCCGAGGCGACTCCGTTAACGCGCGCGTCGGTTTTTCCGAGGAGGAGAAAATCCCCCGCCGACGGAGAAGCACCGCTTTCGCGGTAAATAATTGCCGGGTCCGTCCGGATTTTTTGGTCCCGGCCTCGACTAGGAAGAGAGAGAGAGAGAGAGACGACCCGCCCGCGAATTCCGCGGGGGAAATCCGATCCTTTGGCATAAACCACATGTCGAGACGGCCGGACTTTTCTCGCCGCCCATCGCGCGCCCCCGACGCGACGGACCCGAAAGGCGACCCGTGGCGGGCGAAGTAGGAAATTATCGCCAGACTTATCAAAAGGACGAAACGAAACGAGCGGAAAAAAATAAAGAAAAAAAAATAACTTCGGACGGCGACGACATTACAAAAAAGAAAGAAAACGAAGATCAACGACTGGAAAATCTTCCGATTTAATTAGCCGGGAAGCGGGACGAAAACAATTGTCGCGGAGAACGGCGCGATTCCTTGAAAATTCGGGAAAATCTCTCTTGAGATCCGCGTGTAAAATAGCCGGAAGGGTAAGGGAAGGTGGAGTCTCGACCGGCGAAGGGTAAACAGAATACGGCGTGGTGTCCGCGGCTATTTAAACCGCGCGACGTCGACACAGTTTGTCTCCTCGACCCGGGGATCGGCACGTTCTCTCGGACATCCCGGAAGTCGATTCCGTTTCCGGCCCGCCGCTCGACTCCGTGGAACGGTGGTCGTGACTCGGACCCGAGTAAAATGGCGAAGAAGAAGCGCTCACCCGATATCAGCAACTCCATCTTCCTTCTGTCGACCTTGATTCGTTCTTCCACCGTCTCCGCGGGCCTACCCTCCGCCGACCCCGCCGACGACTCCGAAGACACTCGATATCTTTCTCCCGGCATTCCTCCGACGTTCCGCTCCGCTGGTCGACTAGCTTCGCACTGACCGCCACTCTTCGCGCCACCGCCCGATATAACTTCGGTCGCGCAGGCGCGTTGAGTCCCGATGGCATTAGAGGCTCCCTCTTCCGGCAGCGGGCTTTTCCCTCTTCTTTCGGGTTTTCGACACGAAAAAAATCGAAAGTTTCAGAATGTAAAGCAAGAAATCTGGCTCATAATTTATATTATTATTTTTTATTAAATAAAACAAATATTACTAATAAAAAAAAGCTATTAATAATAATTTTACAAAACTTGACATACAAAAGGCTTAAATCCCATGAATTATAGCCTAATAAATGTGGAACTACCACCGAAAACCCGTCTATCAATGAAACAGTAATGCCAGCTTGGTACATAAAGAATTTTGATGCTTAAAAGATTTACGAACAGGTCCTCCGATTGTTTAGAATCTTAGAAAAAAATCTCGGGCATCTTCTCCCAAAAAAAGACCTCTTTTTTGGGAGAAGATGCCCGAGATCATTTATCGCTTGCGATGAAACACCTTTCTCTGGATTCTAAGCACAAAAGACACCGATAGTAACGATCGGTAGAAACGCCTCCGGTGATTGATTTTGATCCAAGAATGAAAGTGGTTTTCTTACCACCAAATACAACAAGCCCGACTCAACCTATGGACCGAGGAGTTATCAAAATTTTCAAGGATTTATATTCTTCTTCTGTCCATTTAAATGAGGCCACAAAAAAACACGAGAAACTTCTGGAAATCTTTTAAAGAAATACAAACAGAACGTAGTTAGCAGTCACATGTTAAGCGTGTAACTTGTGGCATGTAACTTTTTAACTATGTATAAGCTTGGCATCATACAAATTCTATTCAATTTTGTTAACAATAATGCTATATCTACTAGTAGTAGTAGTAGTTGAAAGAAGGGCCTGCCTCCTGATTCCACTCAAAAGTACGACCTGGAGGTTGAAAAGATGGTGAAAGAAGAGGAAGAGAGAAGAAGGCAAGTGATGAAAAGGAGGGAAGAGTATGCTATATCTACTGCGTCAAATGCTTTAGAAAAATCTAAAGATACTGATATTATATAATTGGGCTTTTGTCTCCAAGTAGGGATGTCACTGCATGTGGGGGTGACGATTTTATTCACCCAGTTTGAAGCTTGATAACTCCTATTAAAGGGCCGAGGGATAGGGAAATAGGTCATGTGTCATATCGTATTAGATCTATAAATTCCCTCTGTCTTTTCTTAATCTCCAGAACGGAGTTACTTAGATGAAAGACGAAACTAGATATGAAATCCTTATAGAAAGGAGGCCCTAATTAATTAACTACACATGAATTTCCGATGTAAATCAGAAATCACGTTATTTCAATTCAAAAATTTCCCCTGTAACGAGTTAGATAATGGAATGTTTCTGTTGCTAACAGGAAAAGAATTATGTACAGGGGCAAGACACTAATAATTTGAGATGGAGAACATTGAATAAAATTTATTATCGTTAACAATAATATATTTATAAGTATAATTACGTAAAACATATTAGCCTAATAATACAGTAATAGTAGTAGTATTATATAAGTAGAATAGCCAGAGAAAAATAGACGATAAAAAAGAAAAGTAAACTTTATGTGATAAGAAAAAACTTACTTATTGATTAAAATAATAAGTTTACATAGTCATAGTGATAAGATAGGAAATCTACGTAATTATGTAGGATGCTGAAATAATGTCCGTTATAATAAACTATGGATAATTGTGTCGAATTATCCCCCTTTACGATGTATATTAAAGAGTATATAAGCGTAATTCATGCTTAGGGAAGAGATGTTTGGTTCACACATTAAAAAAAATCGCCTTAGAAAGAACTACGTTCATTTATACTAGTTGTAATAACTTGCATTGTTTTACTTTCCCGACTGTTGTGTAAACATAACAGGAGAAAGTATTAAAACCGTGTTAAATTTGACACTCCGAGTTCTTTGCAAATTACGTTTTGAAACCTCCTGAATCCAAAAAAAGGGAGAAAATTCCGTGGATATGTATGTGTTTTGCTTGTAGTTGTGTTGACGTTTATTTCGTTTAATATCCCTGAATGGGGTAATGATTAAGAAACGAAACTTGACACGGTAGTTTATGTATAAGGAGCATTGATAATCTAAAAATTTTGATGATTAATTAAAGGTCGAAAGGATGGGGAGATAGAAGGGGGGGTCATGTGTTATACGTCGAGTGGGGTCAGACTTAATTTATGAAGATTTTTACTCGTTATTAGCATTTACAATTTTTTATTAATTAAAAAATAAAACTCTTATCCTCAAAATTGAACTTTGAGTCATTTTATAATAATTAATTAATTTAATAATATAAATACACTATAGAACAAGTGTCAATAAATAAATTATTATAATCATTTTAATTATTTTATAATGTTGTTATATAAATATAAAATTAATACTCAAGTTTTATTACTATTCATCAAGAAATCTAAAAACAATTACATAATATAGCAAACTCTTATATAATCACTCATTTAAATATATTTTTGTCTTCCACTTTAGCCAGTAATGGATAGATATGTCAGTTACATCACACCATCTGATATAGTCCTTATTTGGTTTGTATCCCTACATATGAATATAACGAGGAGCTAATGTATCTATTTATAAAAAAAATGAAATTTTACTTTTATGAAACTAATAAAATATTACAGTTAACTTTTTTCAAAAAAAATCAAACTACGAGAGAGACAATGCAAAACAATAGTTTTAGAACAAGATCTACTGCCAAAAATCCACCTTGACACCCATCTATATAAATAACATATTTGAGATCTGTAAAAGCTGGTCATTTATGCCAGATGGTTACCGAGATGATGTTATATTTAGCAATAAAAAAGTCTATTGCTTTATAATACTGACAGAATGTGTGGGTGCAGTGCGAGGATAATTGATACTTTAATCCCAAATATCTCAACCTGACAAGGGATTTGAAAACATTTTTTCAAATTCCTTATCGGGTATTTTTTTTAATCTAATAAAGTATGTATTGAAAATTTACAGGAATCTTTGAAATTTATTGATTTGATTTTGTGATTTACGTATAGAAGAACATTAAAAAATGAATTAAAAAACGAATAATCATATCCGACATCAATTTATGTCTCCTAATATTGTTTCATGCTGTTTGAAACTATCTAGAATGCTAAAATTAAAATAAATTTACTATTTTGTATTGGACACGGTGGATATGCCAGGTGTTATTGTAATCAACCCACGTTCTCTTGAAAAGCTTCCCCATAAATCACTTGTACTCGTGTGTTATGCTCAACAATAAAGGTCTGTTGCTAAAATAAAACAGTTTCATCTATCTTATTTAAATCTGTGTCTTACAGACAAGAATAATCACTCTGTTTCATCAGAGAACTTTTAATGGAGTTCCAATACCAATTGGGAGACTGGAATATTTCAAACATGTTCAATAATCATGCTGATTATTCTTCACAATTGATGTTCAAGATATGTTAACAAATTTTTAGATGGGACAGGAAAGAATCTGAATATGATTTGATACATTGCTTTAGAATCTCACATGTGAGTAGTGATAGAATCAATAGTATAATAATAGATGCTACTAATAATAGATACATAAATTTTAAATCAAATTAAAATGTAAAATATAGAATCATCAATTGATATCAAAATGAGATGGAAAAACAAAACCTAAACAGGCGTGCTTAATTTTATAAACCCACCTGTCGATTTGATGCCACAAGCCTGTCGATGTTTCCGAGTATCTCCTCAAATTTTTCCTTTTCGGCTCTCTGACCCCTTATCACCAATATTCTTATGGAATCGGCAGGAGGATTAAATTTAAAGCTGAGATGTCGTTCCCTTATACTTCTCAAAATGTCGGAGAATACGGTCTGATTCTTTTCGTTCAGACAACGCGAGGGAATGAGCAATTTTAAAACTATCGGCATCAATTTCTGTAAATGCAAAATTATCGTAACATATTAAATAGTAAAATAAGTATAAATGCAGCTTCGAATGAGGCAGTTTTCATAGGAGTAAACAAATAAAAAGAACTATTGGTCTACATGTGATGCTTTGAGAGATATAGCAATATATTCTAGTATATAGTGTGAATAAATATCCGTATATATACTAGGTTATATAGATATATCCGGAAATAGTTAGTGAAATGGCTGTTTTGTGAGCTTTCAGTAGTCTTTCGTAAAATGGAAAACTGTTGATTTTTAGCATTATTTTTTAAAATAGTTTCGGAGTTTCTCACTTTAAAATGTTACCACATTTTTGAGGGTTTTTAAAATTCCTAGGCTGATTTCGGGAGGATTTATCTCGCAAAGGATTGCATGTAGAGCATCGGTTCTTTGAAGTTCTTATTCCTACGGGCACGGATCTGATAAGGTCCCAACCGCCTTAATCGCAGCTGCAATTTTATCGTAAAATATCCCGGCATAAATGCGAAAGTACGTAAAAATTACACAGAATATGTCGGAGAATAAATAACTTAATTCGTCGCCACTTACTCTTATGGCCAATTTAGCCCGTTCGACATTTTCTGCCATTCCGGTAAGCGTCACCTATTTTAAATTGGAATTACGTTAACAATTTACTTAATAAAACTCTGAAAAAAAAAGATAAAATAAAATTCTATTCATACTCTATTGCTTTTGACAACTCCATTTCTGTTAGAATCGGGAAAGTGAATGTGACAGTCGGTATCGCTTTTGACCTTTTGAATGGTCTCTCCTTTTTTACCGATCAAGTGGGAATGATCGGTATAGGAAATGTCCATCCTTAAGGTCACTTGGTCCTTCTGCAACAAAAAAAAAAAAAAAAAAGTTATACAATTTGAGAGTTTACTCTTTAAATAATTAAACTAAAGTGATGATGAACCTAAAGAGATTTTAAAGCATTCTTAGCGATTAATAAGTCTACCTTAACATCTAGAACTTGCATAATCATTTCCTTAGCTACTCCAACATTTATAGGCAAACCTTCTATTTTAACTTGTGGATCTGGAAATATTTCATTAAAAAACATTAAATTATTTTCAGTAAAACTTATAATAAAATTATTTTTGTAAAGAAAACCATCCATTAAAATTTAATCACTTCAAATTGGCTGGAATAAAAAGAAACTATAGGGCTAATATGGTAGGTAAGTTTGAAGATGTGGNATTCCGTTTTATATGAATTCCATGTTGTACGAGTCACTTAGAATTTACAAATACGTGTTCCAGGCTGTGAACGGCTCACGTATTTGTAAAATCTAAGTGACTCGTACAACATGGAATTCATATAAAACGGAATTATCAACAGTGTTATAGGGGGGTCGACTGTATTTGTAAAATCCTTATCCTTATAAGATCAAAACATTATTTCGGTAATATCTATCTTTTCAATTGCTTTTTATAGCAGGTAAAATAAGTGTTCGTTAACAATTATATTTATTATTTAGTGATAAGAAAGTAATGTTTTAAGCGTTTTAAATCTTAATATGGTAGTAGCCTATATTGTAAAAAAATAATTATTTGCATAAATAATTTACTTACTTTTAGAGAGAGATTTTTATTTAATTTATTACACAAGTGAACATCAGTCTAAGTAAAATAATATCATGAAAATATTAAGGATGTTACGATTTATTTAACCATAATTTTATTCAGGATATATCAATTGAATACGCCTTTTTTAAAAGACAATATAAAAACAAAACCACGAGAAATTGGCCTATATTTCTGCTTTATTTTTAGTTCTCTCTCTTAAGTTTTATATTAAAAAAATATATAAAATTTCATTAAATATTTGTTTTATTATTCTGTATAACGTGAGCATTAGCTGTGAAATTTATCTTCGATGGGATGAAAAACTTGCTTGGTTTATAGGAATTAACTAACTTGTCTTTCATTTATTTTATTGTTAAATAATTATTACAAGGCTAAATAAAGATGAAAAAATAATGTTAATATGTAGAAGATTTATGAATTTTGAATGACAATAAATATGGAATGTGATATAATAGGTTAAATGAAATAAATATGAGTTTTTGTCTCTTAAAAGTATCCACGTTGAAACCAACGATAATTTTCATTGGCAATGATTTCTTAGCTCATACTGAATCTAATAATAATAAAACTAACAGGATCTAAACAGTAATTTGATGAATAATTAAGATTTAAAGGCTGTATTCCACAATCCCCCGTAATAAAATTAAACGAAAACATACTACAAATGAAATGGGGGCTAAGTAAAACAGAACGAGAGTCGCACGAAGTGTGCTCTCTCTAAACTTATTTCGTGTCGTTTTCTCTTTTCTTTTCTGTTTTTTTAACCTTTGATTTCGTTTTAGAAACCTTATAACTCATTCTTTTCCTACAATAAATATTGTTGTTTATTAAGCTCCTCAACTCTCTCTCTCTCTTCTTGTTTGGTAAACACTGTTAGATGCCCAACCGAGATCATCTATTGTCTTTTTTTTTAACTTCTGAATTTTTCTGCATAATTTGCCTGTAGGAACTTGAAACACAGTAACAATACAGCTATACTATAATTCACGTTTTCATCCATTATATTAAAAGGAATCTTGTAAATAAATTGTTTCACGATCGTTAAAAAATCGGCTCTTATCAGCCAAGTCAATGGCGAAATTTAAAATATAAACCATCGTCAAACTAAACAAATATAAGGGTGGTTCAACTTTTGGGCTTATCAAACTATCAACTATCCCTACACCCTACTGTGTACAAACATACAAAATACACAAAGTTTTTAAGCGAATTAAACTGCTTCGAAGATCGGAGTATGAGATTAACGCGAATTTGAAGATTCAGAATGAGATAAAGACTCGAATTGTATTGATCCACTACAGATACATTGTTTGGGGGCCTCAGTTTAATAAGGAATTTAGGATACCGAAATACAATCGAAGCTTTGGTTGGGGAATGCGGAACGAAAGAAGAAAATATGGTGAAAAGAATGCAAACAACGATAAAAAGTTTAATTGGAGAAAATAAGAAATATTTGGGATAAAATATCTAATAAAAGAAATTGTCGGGCGTGTATGAAGATAATGGTAAATACACCCGAAAGAAAGAATTATGTTCGCACTTAAAAAATGTAAGAAGACAGATGCTAAGACCAAGTTTAAGTTTAGAACGAATTTATCATACGAGTAAACTTAGAGAAGTCCTCTCCTTCAAAATTAGCCATAGTAGTACGAAATTGCCTATCTCTTTTTTTTAATTTCAACAGTAATTACGAGAGACCGTAGTATGTTACCAATTTTCCTGTTTCGTTATTAGGAATTTTTGAAAAAAATACACTAATCTGAGCTTAATATTAAATCATTCATGAGAAGCAAAAATGTTACCTGAGATACGTCAAAACATAGAATTAATCCTTGATTTAGAAATAAAACGAAAACCGATGATTTTGATAATAAACGTAGAGACTTACACAATATAAAGTAATACTTGCAACACGAAAGAATGCAAATTGGCAAAAAAAAAAGAGTAGCAATACCCCGTTTATGTGTTGGTTGCACTCCACCTCATCTCTATTTTTATCGGTCCGACTCGTTAAGTAACCAACTACTGTCAAATTTATTATTAAAATTTAACCAGGTATTTTTTTTTTTTTACCTTAGATACGGTTTCTATGGCTTAATACGGAAACTATTTATTTAATTAATGTTTTTAAACTACGTCATCTTTAATCTCCTTTCAGTAAAGTTGTTCTATGTTTATCTTTAAGAACTATTAGCGAGGTTACGGCCGAAGTTTTCATCTGTAAAACGTGAACGTCGAACGTCGAGCGCCGCTACAAGATAGCGGCGCTCGACGTTCGACGTTCACGTTTGAGAGATGAAAACTTCGGCCGCAACCTCGCTAATATGAAGATGTATCTATATATATATATATTATTCAGAAGCAAGTTTTCTAGTAATTGGAATATCTTCTCATAGAAATATTTCATAGTGTAAATAACCATCGTTATTTTCTAATAGAGCTGTTAAGAGGGTGATGACTTACCATTATCAATCAGTAGAAACATCAGTCGTCCTTTTTTAAATGACGGGATGAAGAATGACGAAAACTTTTTCTCTGGCATGTTACTGGAGAAGTACATTACTGATCTCTCATAACGATTTAAAAACGCGAATTCTTGTTTTACTTGCGAAACAATTATGAACGGATCAATTTGGACTTTGTTCATTAATAGGACTTATTACAAGTCGACCCCCCTATAACACTGTTGATAATTCCGTTTTATATGAATTCCATGTTGTACGAGTCACTTAGATTTTACAAATACTTGAGACGTTCACAGCCTTACACACATATTTGTAAAATCTAAGTGACTCGTACAACATGGAATTCATATAAAACGGAATAATCAACAGTGTTATAGGGGGGTCGACTGGTATACTGGTGAAGTTTCTGATTAGCAAAGAGAGGAAATCATCTTAATCAAAAGTGAAAAACAAAATATTTTCTTTATTTTCATCTGTATTTTGACTTTTGACTAAGATTTCCTCTCTTTGCTAATCAGAAACTTCACCAGTATAAGTCCTATTAATACACAGAATCTTCAAGAACTAAATATTTATCTTGAAATTTTTAAGTAAAATTAATATTAGGAATTTTATTTATACAAAATCCCCAACTTAAATGTTATTTACAGAAGGGATATTTACTTCACCAAGTAATCTTTACCATAATTATTTTTAGATTCTACAAATTTCTCAGACATTAAAATATCCAGTTCTCACTTCCTGAACCGCGAATATCAAATATTTTTGGATATTCAATTTCACTGAAGAACCAAAATTCTTAAGAGAAATTACCATATTCGTTTGTCTTCGTGAAAACCATAATACTAACGAATATCGTAATTTCCCTTTGAAGTATTTAATAATATTTAGAATAATGTTAGTGAGACTTGTGGATTCTTCGAAATTAAATGGTTAAATTCAATTGGATTCAAATCTCTGAACTGTATCGGTTTAGAGAAAATTAGAAACGTGGAGGGTCACAGTTTTGCCCAAAATTCCGGTTAATGAAGTGGGTTTTTTTTTAAAAAAAAAAGAACGAAAGCGGCTTTATGATTGATGGGAACAAAACCTCTTCTAATTATAGACGGTACGGGGACCAAACCGGGGGATTCTTCGCCCGCTTTTCTAATTATGGCCGTATTGTCAACGTCATCAAAAAACGGATTCCGAAAAATTTACCTTTAAGATAGTCGGGAGTAATTCTCCATAAATCACTACCCCCCATCCAAACTCTCGGAGGAGAAAATTTAGCCTTCTTAGTTGAACATCCGACATCTTAATTACCTAATTTTTACTACTCACAGAAGTAGTCTTCATTGGGAATAGTTTGAATACCCAACACTATTCATTTACGTCGTTCGACAACACAGAATTTTCCGTAGAAAACACAAGATACCGAAAGTAGGAGAAGATGAATCATCACAAGAATCGATCAAAAGTAGATTTATAAATTACAAAAATTTTATTATACAACAAAACAATACGTAGAAAACACACATTCGCAATTCTGAATTTGATTTTAAAGTTTGTTTTTCCCATATTATGGGTTATATATAAAGGAATACAAATGGTAAAATGGCATTCTCGATAGTTATGGCCAATGTTATCAAATCACAGAATCGTATAAAATTTATACCTTCTGATTATAAATTGTAAAAAAAAAATTAGATATTCTAAATATAATCTAATTTATATATATATATATCTTCTGTTATTTACAAAAATATATTTTCTGTAAGTCATAATTAATCAATTAAATATTTACAATACAATATGATATAACAAAAGTTATAAAAATCCGAAATTTTTGTACAAAATTTTTAAATTATTAAAAAAAGACACGCGTTGGAATAATTTATGGTAATGTAAATATCCGACCAGATGGCGATTTATGGGTATTGCCTGCCAATTCGCCATTGTTTCCAGATCAGACTGTATCAGTTGACCCCCCTATAACACTGTTGATAATTCCGTTTTATATGAATTCCATGTTGTATGAGTCACTCAGATTTTACAAATACATGTGCCGGGCTGTGAACGGCTCATGTATTTGTAAAATCTAAGTGACTCCTATAACATGGAATTCATATAAAACGGAATTATCAGCAGTGTTATAGGGGGGTCGACTGATATTACAGGATGATCAAAATTTGCTCGGAAAAAGAAAAACAAATGATCGATTTTATCGTAATTATCCGAATCTATGCAGATAAAAAAAGACGTCGCCCAAGATTCCTGAGTATTTACTCTGACGTAACAGAGAAGGACGACCCGTTGTGGGACATTAATTACGGATGGTGATTGTCTTCTGCATCGCTGACATCTAGACTCAAATACAAAGAAAGAATTGTAGTGTTTAATGTCTTTAAGAACGATGGAAGAAATCGAAACGTGGCTTACCTTTCTTACCGTGATATTGGTGTCGACGTAGTCTATCGTAAAGCTCGTCTTTGGTGGTACCGTATAGGCTAGCGTTACTTCTACTGAGGGTGTTGGTCTTACCTTGCAAACCCTCTACGAATGTATTTGTTAGTTAGAACTTTCAGAGTATTATAAAAAAGAAAAAATGCTACCGAAAACGTTATACAAACCTTGCATGTAAGTTTCGTTATAAAAATTTGGCATCTCCCAACCGTCTTCGTCGTCTTCGTAGTAATGAGCGTAAGTACTGTGGTGAGAAGGTGCGATACTTTCGGCATAAGGAGCGGGAGCCCCGTAAAAAAAGTTGGCTTGAGAACTGGAAATGTCGTATCCCGATTCCGGAAGCTTCTGCAACTTATTCTTTCTAGACGATCTATATCAAAATGCAATCTCGTTATGCCACGTTTAAACCAGTGCAATTGTCCGTTACGTATAGGGAATAGAAACGTACCTGACACAAATCATCCAAATGAGTAAGACGAGAATGATTATGAAGATGACCGCTCCTGCTATTCCTCCGGCGATATATACAAAATCGGATTTCTTTTCGCATTTTTTACCATAGAAATTGGCAGAACAATGACATCTAGGTTCGAAAGTTTCGGTGTTTACTTCGCACTTTCCACCGTTTTCGCAGTGATTGGTGCAGACATCTGCAATGACAGTTATATATACATTTTAATCCGTTATTTATATAATAATAATAATAATAATAGCGATTTAGCGCCTCTAACAAATTGTATAGCGTGTAATATAAATGAAAATGTTGGATTACAGACTACTGTAAAGCGATCTGAATATTAAAAAAAAATATTTTTTTTACTGTATAGCTTGGTAACAGAATCTACATCATCATTCTACATTAATTATAAACAATCGCTAAATAAAACTATGAATAAATAAAAGTAAAATGAACAATCACTTTACTTTTTTTAATAACTTCTTTAGCATATTTTATGGTAAAAAAAATCTTCATTTGAAACTATAAACTTTCTTGAAACAGGCATAAAACTCACTGGAAATTCACTGGTGTAAAAGAAAACGTATTCCATATCTTATAAGTGAGAAAATTTACAACTACACACTTGATTTTGTTTTTTAATCCTAACAGCAAGTTCGATATTTCCCATTTATCACAGCGTACAAAACCTTATTTCATAAAAAGAAAAATTTGACAACTGATAGTTTTGACCCGCTCGTATAGGGTGAAGGCAGTTGGACAGTTAGTAAGCGCGGTTTCTAAATCGTTTATCGTTACTTTCTTTGAATTTATATATTTAATATTTATATTTTATGTGACGATCCTATTTCTAGCTTCTCACACGTATTAACTCCGTCAGCGAGATAATGTATGAAACTATTTACAGAACGTCGAAGGCAGTGAGATAAACACTTGGCCACTACAAAAACGATTAAACAAGTTATAGACAGATCAAAACATGCGTTAAAAAAAATACAACGCTGGATATTTATTCACATTTTCTTTACAATTACGCTAAACAAGCTGGCATTTTAAATGATTTTTCGTAATAAAAATGACTAATAAAGTTTTAAAATTATAATTTTAATTGCTACTTACCTACACACTGATTATTATCGCGTTTAAACGTAGGTTTACATTCGCAGGCGAAAGAATCGATTTCTTTATGGAACACGCAGTAGGCATTTGTTTCGCATTCTCTCATCTGTCCGTTTATGAGGCAAGGATTGAAACAGTCGTTTTCTGATAGAGAACCAGTCTGAGCTGTCGTCTTATCTTCGGGACAGGGAATACACTGAGGATCACGTTGCTCCTTACTTTGATAATTCCCTTTCGGACAAGCAACGCACTTATCGGTAGTGGTATTTAAGTAATGGCCAGGATTACACATTTCTAAGTTTTAAGAAGTTTAAATGAGACGTACATTTTAACGATTAAGAAAGATTTTAAAAATTTTATATACCCAGAGAACATTGGTTCTGACTTGTGGCCACTTTTAAAGGGGTGGTCCTTCCTGGTGGGCACTGTTCGCAAGTTGGCATTCCTTTAGTTCGATAATAACCTAAGCCACACGGTTCGCACGTCCCTTTCTCTGACAGCTGATAACCGGCCGCACATTCCTCTGTAAAATAAAACAAACAAAGAATAAAGTTTCAGTTTAAATACTAATGTATAAAATAAATCATAATAAATATATATGCAATTAATTTTCTTATGCATAATATAGATCATAATATTTCTTAATATGTCTACTGATTCTTAATTAAAACTTTTTTTAAATGTTATATACAATAATTTATCTAAATTGTGAGAAAAATTAAACAGAATTGTATATTGCAGCTTTTATAAGTTTTGTTAATCATAGTTTCAATTGTAAAAAGAATTATGTTTTAAATAAAATTCTTAATCTTAATAATTTAAATTTTAAATACAATATTTTTATCATTTCTTTTTTCTTTTGTAGAGAGAAATAAACATAAGAAATATTTAAATACTTTAAATATTCTTACAAGTTCATTAATATAAATTTGATTCTTTAAATGTCCTCCATCTTAGAGACAAGCTCAAATTGACATTATTGTAATTCCTGAATATTGATTAATATCTAAATTTAATTGCTAAATATTACAAGAAAATCAACATTTTCCAAGTGTCAGTAGAATATATTTTTTTCAAGATTAATTAATTAACTATAGCTCAAGGATTTATTTAGAATAATCATACAGACTGTAGTATTCCTCTCACTATCATTCTTCTTTAAAAGAGTTGGTTTAAACTAGAATTTTTAACAGTTGCGACAAACTCAAAATTCATGGGCAATGAGAGAGAGAGAGGGAGAGAATCATTATGGAAATTATAGTTTAATAATTTGAGGAAGGATTATAAATATCTTTGATTATTAAATACTATATTCATGAGATAAAATAAACTCTATTTTTTAGATCTTAATAAAAAAAAAAATCTAAAAATGATGTTTAATAAATGGAATAGCCAGAATCTCTCCTAACTTAAATCTAAAAGATATTTGTGGAATGTTTAAGGAAAATATATAAACAGCCTACAAAACCTATTCAGACTTTCTAAGAGCTAAAGATTACAGTGATGAGTGAGTGCAGCTATCAGTATCTTTAATTTATTTATTCTCAGCATGAATCAGTACTGTACATCAGTAAGGTGTGGTCACTTACTGTATATATTTAAATAAAAAAAAAAAATTATATATCTAAGTTTTCTAATAACTGTATGAATACTTTTGAATAAATCAGATATTTACTTTAATTATGAATTTTTAATTGCATTATATAATATTATAACTTTCGTATAAAATTTTATTTAATTCGTCTTTATATAATTTTGAAATATTTAGAAATTAATATAGTCTAGTCTAATGTTTAATTCTGTTCCAAAATATACAAATTTACAATAATTTTTTATAGCAAATATACTAATACCATATTTATTATACAAACATAAACTATAGCACAATATTCTATTAGCTAAAGATGTCACAGCCAGATTATTTATGCACTATAACAGTGCTAATTATTAAGTAATCAAATTATGTAATTTAGCCTAAAGGTGGTCACACTTAGGCTTCCATCTTGTGCTAAAAAATGATTCAAATAACATTTTCAACATTAAAGTGACAGTGTCATTTGATACAATACATTTGTATAAAATAACATTAGCATTAGTATGTTAAATCTGCTATTAAAAATGCATCTGAAGTACGGGAGAAAATATGAATATCACACTAAATAATAAACATGTATAGATTAATCGGCAAATACTTAATTAATTTAAACACTATTTTTGATATTCTTTTATTATTTTGTTCCAGTTTTTTAAAATAAAAAATGGATGGTTTCTAAATGATAATTATTATATACATTTATATAATCAATTTTTGTTATAACATTGATTCTGTTTAATATTTTAATACAAATATTAAATTTTCTTTAATGTTTATTACATGAATTTATGAAATACAATATAAATTTTAATGTAGAAATATAGGTATGACTTAAATGAAAATAAATACACTGTGTACTTAAATATGTATGAGAAATGATTGATTTATCAATCATATTTCATACATATTTAAGTATTGCTTATTTATTTAAGTATTTTTTAATGTAAATTCTCAATTGACAGCTTGATCTTTTTGACATCTTTTATTTTGGAACAACCAGAAAGCTGATGGTGCCAGTCTGGGTTGTAAAGAGAATATGAAATAACCTGTGCATGGAATACAAAAATGGATGAAACATTTGGGAAAATTTGCTAAATCTAGCTTTCATGTAGCACCATCAAATAGATTAATAGTTATGTTCTCTGCCTGTTAGAAATATTACTGGTTTTTTTTCTTTTTTAGTCAAAAGTGGGTAGAGAAAAGACACTGCAGTAGCTAAAGTTTATTATAGTGTTTTATTTTATATAAAATTCACCATTTGAGAATACTGATTTTCCTCATAATTCATATTTCTATTTGGGGTTGAGTTGTTCATTTGTGGTAGCCATCTCAAATTTTGTCTTCAGCACTTTATGAACTTGCAAAGTCTTTCACATCAATAAAAATCTATTTTCTATCTATCTGAATTTTTCTGTAGATAATTTATGTAATGTATTTTGTGAAATTTGATGATTTTAATAAACTTAGCATAGCATAATGAGTTAACTTTGTGATATACATAAATTCATGATATTAAATCATTATTACAGTCTCATGTATTGTTCTATTGATAATAATAATTCAAATAAATATCATGAGCTTATATATTGCAGAATTGCATCTTTTAATCTACTGCTTTGAACTTTGTGTCTGAATAAATGCAACTGGCCATTTTTGGTCCCTTCAAATTTGAAATTTACAGGTATATGAAAATTTTAATATAATAAAATAAATGATTTTTATGCTTTTAAAAACTGGTGACATTATTCTATACTTTCTAAGCTAATTTTATAAAAATGAAGATCTCATTTATCAGTCAACTTGCATGTATTATTTTGCAAAAACTTATAAATGTTTTACCTCTACATTCTTTAACTGATACAGCCTGATTGCTTCGTGTTGTAAGACCTGGTTTACAGGAGAAACAATTAAAAGAACCATCTGATGGTTGATAAAATCCATATCCACACGGTCTGCATATTTGAATGTTTTCATCATAATAATTTCCAGCAGAACATCTTTCTGTAAAGTTAAATTGTTCTTTAATTTTTATATTTATAAACAAATTTCAAAAGTTATGTAAGAATAAATAAATTTGCATATTAAATATATTTAATATGAAAATTTTAATATAATAATAAAACATTTAATATATAACTATGGATGTTTATGTTTGTATAAATTTTAACATTTAAAATATTTACTTTTATACATACCTTTACAATCTTCCACAGATCTGGAGCCTATGTTACTTGTTACACCTCTTTTTCCATTAACCAAAGGACATGACTTACAAAAGAGTTGTCCCATTTCATTCTGATAAGTTCCAATAGGACAAGATACACACAACTTTGTTGTGTTGTCAAAATATGTACCGATGCTACAATCAACTAAAAGAAAAACATATTTAATTTTAATAATGTTAGTATTACAAAAATTTTAATTTTAAATTCTTCATTTTAAAATTAACTTACCACAGTTTGGAGGCATAACAACTTGTCCCAAAGAACAAGAATAATCATTAACCATTGATAAAGATGTGAGATCTGGAACTACATTCGGTAAAGTATCGCGAACGTCAAAAGCAGAATCTTTAAGGACTGCTTTTTCAACAACATTTTGGACTGTCGACTGTTGTCTAGTATTCACATTGGATACAGGATCACTAAAAATATAAATTTTATAATAATTAACCAAGATGTTAGTTTCATTTTTCAATTTAAATCATATTTTCCAAATTTTATCGATTAATTTCTTCAAATCTTTTTAAACATATTTTAAGCAAAAAGTAGACTAATTTAATAATGATTTTACAGACATATCTAGATTCCACTTAAAAAATTGTTACTGTTCTAATTTAAATGTTGACAGTAACTAACATGATTTATCACAATACAAGCTGTTAAAATTGTAATGTATATTACAACAAAGTATATCAAAATAAAACACAATTTTTAATGAAAAAATTCTGTAAAGTTTAATGTGTTTGTAGTTTAAATCTAGTGATTTTCAAGAATTGATAGAATATAGAAACTAAATGTCTATTTGTTTGGCTTTATCAGTGATTAAATATATAACTTGGAACAAAATTAAAACTTAGAAATGTTTTTCTTCATACCATGTGTATCATTTATATAAAATAGATCCTTAATTTTATTAATACACTTATATACCTAACATCAAAGAACTATTGCAGAAATTTAATGAAATTTTAGGTAACCGTATCTTTTGTATTGAGTGTCACAAATGTAATGTCAAACTTGTCAAACTTATAAAATTTGACATTACATTTATAGTATTCAATATGATTATGGTCAACAATCTGCAGAAGAGTTGATGCAGATAATTTCTGCATTGGTTTTTTTTTATTATATTCGCACTACGTCTTTGCCAATATTTATTTCTTATCATTTTGATTGTATTGAAAATATACTTCACAAAATTTTTCTTGCTTCAATAAAATCCTCTGTTCTCATCACAAAAAGATTCAAGTAAGTTTATTTGCAAAACTTATTTGAAAATAAAGTTCTTTGAGAATTGTTTATCTCAAACCTTTGGTGGCAAGAACAAAGGATGTTTAACAGAATCTGAAATTGTATTCAAATAAAAAATATTTTTTGATTTTATGATAAAAGTAAGAAAATTAAGGAATTTGTTTTCCTTAATTTTTTCAAAACTATGATTTATCATATATTAAAGCAGTGTTTTCCAACCAATATATCACAAGAGTGCCTCAGGTGTGTCATGGAAATATTAAATATTTTTTTAGAATTTTGAATAAGTTCTTTTTTAAAACTTCATTTATCTTTCATCACTTTACCACTGGTCAATTGAAGGGAGAAGAAAGTATTCACTAAAATGCCAATTATTGCAAGATTTGCAGCATTACCTCTAACAAAAGTTGTGTCCATCTACATTAATGCTGGCGTACCAACTCTATAAACATTACAGCTTAAAGACCAATACTAGCTCTTTACTCATTGATTCAAATAATCTTTTTATTTCTATATTAAATTTGTAAAATTACAAGTTTTTGTCTTCATGAGTTTAATTTCCATTTTATCAAATTTTTTAAAAATCAACTGTAATTTATTTTAAATTTTAAACATTTTTATTTAAAAAATTATGGTGTGTTGCAGAGTTCGTACTAAATTGAAAGTCTGTTTCTAATACAAAATGGTTGGAAAACACTGTATTTAAGTATTGTGTAGTGAAGTTTGTGTTAATTTTTAACTTAAAATTCTTTCCTTATGTTTTTAATACATATCAACAAAAACTATTCACATCAATGCAACTAAAAAAGCTACATCATCTGTAATATAAAATTTTCCTAGCCTTAACTGCATTTAAAAAATATGTCAAGTGTTTTTGTATCTATAATGTTAACTTCTCAAATTTGCAAACAATTTAAAAATGATTACAGATAATCTATGAACATTTTAAACACCAGAGAGAGTTTAATCATGAGTAATAAATTCCCATGTTTTTGTTTCCAAAAATTTTAATTGATAGATGTGAAAATTATTTTACAAATGTGATGTAATTTGTAATTGTTCATATTGCCTGAAAAAAGAATTTGCATCATAAAATTTTTTAATGTAATAAATATTTATGTGTATTTCTGACTACAAACTATTATTCTAAGAATTTATTTCTGAAATATTAAAATGTAATTGTTATAAGATAATTGAGATTTGCTTCAAACTAATCTCTAATTTAAAATTAATTTATAGTAAAATGAATTTTAAATTTTAAATGAGATTTCTACATCAATCTGACTTACTTAACTGCGGGAAATGAAATGGTAACTACATATACGTCATTAGTTTCGGTTTGTCGCACGACTCTTCCATTTTTCCGACATTTCACAGAGGCTTGCAATCCATTGCAGGAATTAGCAGTTTCGTCAGAACATACATGCCATTCTCTGTTGACTTTCAATAAGCTGTCTATTACTCGTGAATGAAGAATCTTTCTTCCTGAATCAGAACACACGATGGATGAAAGGAAACCCATACTAACTTTAAATATCCTTTGAGCAGGTCTTTTAGCTAACAAAAAAAAAACTTGTTGTTAAGTAATAAAAATATAAACTGTTAAATTATTTTAAAAATTAGATTCTATTAAGAAAATCTATATTTTAATACATTTTCTCTTATCATATTTCCTTCAATTGTTATTTAGGACACAATGCTATGAAAAGAAACTTGGTTCAGAAACTATTAAAACTTCCATAGCAAAAAAATAAGTTAGGATAATAATTAAATATTTATAAACTTCCATTAATTCATAAAATGGGTTAGAAATTCTTTGTAAAAAATTAAATTTGAATAAAAATATAATACATTTGAATATATTCAGCTATTTAATTTTTAAAATATTTCTCATACCAATTATGTATTCTATTTTGAATATAATTTTCATCACCGTACATGCTTTTAATATTCTTTTCAAAATAATTTTTGTTTTTTAATCTAAGCAATCTTTTGACTAGTCTAATTTCAGAATACTTTTTTAGAGCTATATGATACAAAGATGGTATAACATAACTCTTTTAAATGTCAAATTTCTTGTAAAATGAATTAAATATTTTCGGAACTTTTATAATGGTGTATAATTGAACAAAGTGGGATAGAATGGTAAAATGAATATTTCAATACATTTAAATAAGAGGAAATTATACATTCACTGCCATAAAAATTAGCACACTAAGAAGAAGTTGTTGGAATCGAACAAAATTGACGTGTGTGAATTTAACAGTGATATAAGTAAGTGATTACAAAATATAAGCAAAAGGATCATTTATTACAGGAAAAACTACAAATGAAAGGAAGTTCTAGTACCCTATTGGGCCACCTCTAGCATAAATACATGATATGATACAGGCATGGATGCATACAGGTGCAATATGGTATCCTGCAGTATCTCAATCTACAGTTGCTGGAAGCAATCCTCTAGTTCGGCTAAACTCCTAGACTGTCCAACTGGCATTCCAGGTGACATGTTTGAACGATGACAAATCAGGGGACTGGGAAGGCCAGGAAAATGTGGCAATGTGGCAGAGGCAACCTTGTGACACCCTTGCTATGTGTGGTCGAGCATTATCCTGTTGGAAAATGGCTCTTGGGATCCCTGCCATGAGAAGCAACATGTGGCTACAGGATATCACTAACATATTGCTGAGCTGTCATGGTCCCTTGGATCACTATTAGAGGTGATCAGCTATCATATGTGATGGCACTAGGGTGACCACCCGTCCTACTGTGGAAGGACATGTCCTACAATTAAACCTTTTGTCCTACGTCCTACCACCTAACGGAAATGTCCTACTTTCACAGATAACTACTTCTGGGCCAATATGTAGTCATTAATAATAACAATAAACTTTTTTTTTCATATTTTTATATTAAATAATGGATACAATTGCAACAAAGAGTAGTATTTAAAACAACAGGAGTAGTATATCAATTTAAAATTATTTACTTATCAATTTTTAGTGTTTTGTGCTATTTTTACTACCGATTTTTATTGTTTAAGCTGGGTTATCAAATGTCCTACTGGAAAGCATTATAAAACTTCAAATGTCCTACTTTCACTATGTCAATATCTGGTCACCCTAGATGGCACCCCAGACCATCATACCAGCTGTGGGGATGGTGTGGCGTTCATCATGGGACCTCCACACAAACACAGCCATCATCAGTGGCCAAACTAAATCTGGATTTGTTGCTGTAGACAACACAATTCCATTCCGCTGTGGTCCAATCCCATTGGGAGTAACACCACTCTAAACGACGGCCATTACATGGCTGTCAATGACAGCACATGTAACAGCCACCACAATATCAAATGTTCCTCACCCAGGTGCCTCAAAATGGTATGGACAGACATAAGGGCCTATAATTATGGTGTCATCTGTGTCCATATGGTGGACAATGATATGATCAGCTGGGTACATACTTGTTAGAGGCCCAGGTAGTCTTCTTGGCCAGTGGGCTTGCTTAGGGCATCCTGAGCCTAGGCACTGTGTGTATGACTCTCTCTCATCCACTAGTCCCAACACCTCCACACAGTATTGTCAAGAACAGCCTAGGTGGAACTGCCACCTAGGCTGTTCTGACTGTGAGAACCACCACCTAGGAAGGTATATGTCTTCTCAACTCAATGATCCTTCTCTTATCAACTCGGTTAGTTGTTTGTATGGTCTTTGATTGTGATGTAAAAGCATCTCTAGTGATACAGCATCCCTCTGCAACATGTTAACTACAGACAGGATGCCTTTGTGTGCAATTTTTACAGGCCAAGGGGAACACAATTTAATGCCCTCTGCTGGCATTATGCAATGAGCCACCATGCTAGAACTCTAAACATTTCCATATCTGCTCGAGACTTATCTGCATGCCAACTTTCGCAGTGATATGACAACTCATTCTTGGTGCACTAATTTTTATGGCAATGCATGTATTTACATGGCAATGCATTAAACAAAGTACACCTGAAGTACAAAAACTACATGACTACAGTACCATAAAACAGAGCAAAAGTACAAAACTTAAAATAAATCAATATATCAAATAAATATTTAATAATATGCATTAAAATATTCTTATTTCATCAAAAAAATTATGAGTAATATTAAACAAACTCTTTAATACATTAGAACTATAAAATTTCTAACAATTATTATTAATTTAATGTAATAAGATTTATCATAATTATTAAGTAATATTAATGAATATTTCATTTATATTAAAAAAGTAAAATGTATAGCATAATTTTGTGAAATCAGTAAAGAATTTTGTAATAATAGAATAGTAATTTTGTAACTAATATAATCATATGCTCAGCATACTCTAATATAAAAATTAAGATAATAAAATAATAATAATAGAAATAAAATAAAATAGAATACAAGTTTAAAGTCATGTACATGACAAGTCTATCTCTATACTATATTTTGTAAAGACTATCTGGGTTTCTCTTATCTTTAGATCAAAGCTTATGAATTAATTTATTTCTACCTTAAAAACCTTCAGAAAAATATGCTGATAGCAATATTTAGTCATTTCATTTCATTATAAATTCTAGAATAATGTAAATGTCTTGAATATGTACCAGTAAAGCTTTTTACATGTATAAAAAGTATTAAAACACATCCTTAGTTTTTAAAAACATTAAGAAGTTTAATAAAGAACCAAAAGATGTGAATAGAATTATTAAGGTAAAAATTTAATAATTCTGCTCACATCTTTAAATTCATTATTAAATTCTCATCCTTCAATTCAAATTAATCTTTTTAAATTTCTATAATTATAGAAAAAGAATATTTTATAAATGTTTATAGCTAGCCAATAAAGAATTTAAGAATTAATATTGATTACCTAAGAAGAATTATACTTTAATTCTTCTAAGATAATCAATCCTAAAAACTCACTGTTAATCTAAAGTAGTCTAATATGTCAAAAGATTGATTCAGGATATTCACGTGACATAGCTGATAATGCACATTCATATCAGATGTGAAAAGGTTTGATCTTATTGTGTGTCACTAATTTTTCATTTTTCAAAATTTACTAGTTTTGAATATTACTAGTAGAATGTAACATGTTTATTTAAGTTAATTGTTTAACTAATCAAGTGATTTCTATAAAAATTTTTACTGTTCACTGGATTTCATTTGGTAATATTAATAAGAATAAGGAATTAAATATGTCTATCAACAAGCTATGTTTTCAATGCATAAAATAAAATTTTTAACTAAATTAATTTCAAGATTGTCTCTTTTAAACTGATTATTAAACTCTAAAAAATGGACAATCCAAAAATGTTTGGTTTTTCTAAAACAAAATAACCCCTATTTTAAGTACATGAAAATGTAGTTTTTCATTACAGAATTTTTTTGTGAAAAAGTAAATAACTTGATAATATTAAGACTGTGTTTCATCCTCAACTTTGTAGACTAAATGAGTCTATTGTAAATATATCATCATCCTTTGGTATCTATAATTCTTCTAGATCTCATCTAGATTAATAAAATATCACATAATAACACAATTAAGTTTATAGTAATAAATATCTTGGTATAATAGTTATTCTGTGTTTGGATTATATATTATTAGAGTATACAAAAATATTCTATTAATATTAAATAATTTTTAAACAAATAAAAAATTATTTATTATAGTAATAATTATTATTACTTGCACATGCTGGGAAAACAAATGGCATATTTGGCTCTGTAGTTGGACGCCAAAATCCCTCACTACCACAAACATAGTATTTTGGAACCATCTGAGAAAATTCTAAATTATCATCACAGGTTATGGTACAAGTTTTAAAGCTGCCACTTGGTCCCCAGTCAGAACAGTGCCTCTGTCCTCCAACTGGTGACATTGGTATTGGGCAAAAATCATCTGTTAAAAAAAAATTACATTTAATATTACAGATAAGATTCTTTAAAAAACTTTTATAAAAGAATATTGTTTTAATTATATTCATACATTAATTACAAATATAAATATAGAAAATTTGGCACTAGCCTTATTGACTATTGTGTAAAAAAAAGGTATTTTTATAGAAATAAAAATATGTTACATATTGTGTTATATTAAAATATATATATATTAATATGTTTGATAAATGAAACTCCTCTTTCCTTCTATTTAAAGAACCACTGAACATACTTATGATGTATAGTAAGCATACAAACTCTCTTTTAAATACAGATATTCCTTGCTTAATGCAGAATTTGATTAATGTATAAAATTAATTGCAGCAACCCCCTTTTATATACAGCAAAAATTTTAATTAATGTGGATTTTAACATTTGTCATTTCTCAACATAGATATGTTTTTCTTGGCAAATAAGGAGTTATAAATTTGCTATTTTCATTTATTAAAATATAAATATTTGTTATTAACTGAAAATTTGTTCTAACGGGTCATGATTGTTCGGTCGAGTATCGAGGTACCACTGTATTTGATTAACACGATTTTGATATATGCAGTAGTATCAAGGAATCAATTAACCACATTAATCATGGGTAAATCT